TGCTTGTTGGATATAATTATTTGAAAGAAAAATTTACTTGACAATGAAAACAAGACAAATTATTTTCATTAAAATTATTAATTAATATAAATATTTTTGTTAGTGATAATAATTTGAATAGATAATTGAGGATTTTACATTAGATGTGTTCAGAATAAATTAATTAGAGTGCAGTGAAATCGTGAGAGAAATTGCAAGTGAAGATTGATTCGCTGAATCGTGAAAATAAGATCATAAAAAGCATTGAAAAAAAACAGAAATAAATAAAAGAAAAATAGTAAAAAAAAATTACGTGACTAAGCTGTGTAAAACATCTTCATGGATGACCAGACCTGATAGCCGTATAGAATAAGGAGAGATCGATTGTTGAATTAAATGCATGTTGGAAAGTGGTGAAAATCAATCGAGAAATTTTCGGGACGTGCCACAGATTTTGACGCTCGATTGCGTCTTCCTAAGTTTACATTTGTAGATTCTTTACTACTAGTGTCTTTCATACATTTCTTTTCACTTTTGCTTGATTATCAACACTCAGCCACACCAATTTTTATCGACTTTCACTTTGAAAACCGTTCAGTCTTACAGTCATTGAAGTCAATAAACAGTATAAAAAAAAAAAATAGAAAAGTACTGGATAAAAATGGGGGACATTAGAATTCTAGATCCTAGAATGGATCCACGATTTGGATCAGATCCGAAGCATCGTCCTTGGCCAGCAATGTACAGAAATTATCCAGCAACACGTGGACCATCAGTATGTTATCGTCCAGTTCATGTAGATGCTTTGACTCAATGGATGGCTCCTCACATTGCTTCTCATGATTATAACTATGTTCCTACACCAATAAGACCTAAGAAAGGTCGCGATTATTATTATCTAACTCCAATGTATCAAAATGCTTTACCACCACCCTCAGCAATGCCCATGCCAGTTGCACCAATGGCTCTAGGACCAAGAATGATGATGATGGAAAAGTCTAGAAGTGGTACCAAAACCTCTTCTTCAAATGGTGCAGGACGAAGTAGTGTTGCTCCGTGCACATGTTCCGTTGGCAGGACCAGATCTTTGGAGGATGTTAGAAGTGAAGTAGTAGAATGGGAGGAGTATAATGACGAAAATGGGAATAGAGTTAAATCTCATACAAAAAATAGTGGTAAACAGACCAGAAGGTCTATGGAGAACTTGCTAGAAGTTGAAGACTCTTGTGCCACGACTTTCAACAGGCCGGAAAAAATAAATAGCAGTGGAAAACAGCAGGAAGAGAAGAAAGAGTGCACGAGACGAAGAGGAAGTTTTATGGTTCGTTGATAGTTTAGAGTTATTATAATAATTTAGTCATAAGAAGTTAATTTGACGAATTAATTGTTGGAGTAAGAGGGAAACTTCTGTATGTTTTATTAATTTTTTTTCCTGATGAGAAAAAAGTTTATCAGTCAATTAAATATAAAAAATGGAATAATTATGATGGTATTTATGAATGACAATGCATTGAGGGTCAATAGAAAGTAAATTGTCAATGAAATCTTCATTCAAGTTTTTAAGGAAAAAACAAAATTACTTTTATTAACTACTTATTTTCACCTTTTTTTTAAGATAATTGGAGTTTTCTTCAAGTTTATATTCATTTTTTACATTTTTTTTTACTCTTTCTTTCATTTATTCACTCCAAATAAATCAACTTTTTTAATTTTATAATAAAATTATTCTCCAAAATACAATACTAAGAAATTATTACAGTCCTGGTGGTTTTTAATTTTTAAATTATCACAATATTTTAGAAAATTTTAAAAATAGTCGTTCTCATCAATCATTAACTTTTAAAAAACTTGATCGAAAGTTCTAGAATAATTAATTATAAAATTCTGAGCATTCTAATATGCAGATAACTTTTAAATTACATTCTCCAAATAATTAATAGCTCCATGAAGTTACAAGAAATTTGAAGTGGCTTATACTAGACTTGATATCTAAATGTTAGTTTAAGTATATATGCCTGGATAAGCACTTAGAATTATAAGCCAGGTGCTAAAGACGTCATGAAAGTAGTATAATGTCGCAATCATACTTCTATTATATATTTAAAAATATAAATATGGAATACGTATGAATCCTTTCTTTCCTGGTTAAGTCAATGAATGAGTTTAATTACTCACCAATCAATGCGGTAATCAGTCGTAAATCAATAAGTAAATAAATAGTAATCTGTTACGAAATCATATGAACTCATAATACTCATAAACAAATAACTTTAATTTTTTGTTATATTATCTCATGTTATTTTAAATTATTATATTGCTATTACGGCTATTTGATTTTTATTCTTTAACTAGATTAGATTGGGCAGTAAATGTAGTTTAAATGTCGAGGCCTGATTTAATTAGCTATCAAAAAGTTCACTCACAAGACCAGTTTATTCAGTTTACTCCAACATGCCAACTACTACTTTTCATATTTACTTTATTTTTTTACTTATTTTTGTTTATTTTTTTCTACAAAATTACAATAATCCTAGTTTAGCCAAATAAGTCTAGTTATTTTGCATTTATGGTAATGATGGTCACTTATTTCATAACTTTCTTTTTGCAAGCCCACGTAACTGTCCTTTGAACCCTTGAAGAGAGGTGACTGATTACTATGTTACTCAATCTTAAGTAATATTCTCTTTGACAGAAGTAAAATAACTTTCTATTCTACTCAACGGGCTGTTAAAAAAGTCGTGAAAAAAATTCCTAAAAGAAGAGGACTTCTTTTGTCATCTAGATGACTTATATTACACTGGGGATATTCGAAAAAATTCCTAGGAAGTATTCAAATAATTATGTAATAATATAAAGTAATTTTTTTTGGTGTTGTTTATACAATAGTTTTAACAAAAAATAATTGTATGTAATTACAATTTTTTGAAATGAGATTAAATAAATTTGTTTACGGAATCCAACTGTTATTTGAGTGTTGAAGTAAGTAATTATTAATTGCTACTTGAATTTATTTCTCAATGGTTGTGATACAATTCTTGCTATTATAATACTTACTTTCGGAATAAAAAGTATTCTAGTCACCTTGAACGTACTTGATAAATAAATTAATCATTAGAAAAATATTCGAAAGGCTGTCTAAATTTTGCAATTTATTTCCTTTTCTTCTAATTAAGTTTTAAAAATAAAAAAGAATTTATTAATGAATTTGCATCTTGATCAAACTGTACTATAAATATTTATTAACATTGAATTATTAATCTTAATTAAAAGTTATATATTGTTTTTTTTCTATATTTATAAAAACCAACACTTTTCCTAATTTCACCTAATATTTTTTAAATCATCATTATTGTGAAGTTCAATTTCTCCCTCTCTTTCACTATTATTTATCTTCACAGTTACAAATTTCTATAACATTTCTATTTTACGATGGTTATTTAAATGATCGAAAGTCTATCATTCAGTCAATAATCTACTTCCAATTTTCTAAAAATAAATGAAATATAAATAGTTTCCGTCAAAATGGATCATTAATTTAGAAAATAATTTGAGTAAAAAAGGAGAGAAATTATATCAGCTAGACTTTTTATGAATTTTTTACCTAAAATTCATTGTTCTGTGGATTATCGAAGAGTCGTGAATTTTTAACGATTCCGGCTCGTTAATTTACACTTAGGAAAGCGTCAAGAATTGCTGAATAGTATTAATTCGACCTCATTATCTGTCATAATTCTTAGACACTATTTTGAATGTCAATGTTTTTCCTTGAAAACTTTTATGACTACAAAAAACTGTTTGTAATTGTTTCATAACAATTCATAATTATTCTAATTAACTTAAAATAAATTGAGCACACACATATTAACTAGAGTAACAGATATTTTTCAGTTTAAAATTGAAACAAAGCCTTAAGAAATAATTTAATGAAATAAACTTCTTGTGAAAACAACAATACTCGTCTTTAGCAATCATTTGTCGTTAAATCTTGGAGATAATCGTACGATTAAGCATCAATGCATGAACTTCAATCGTTTCTTAATACAACAGAGAAAATGTTTCCTGTTTAACAGAAAATCTGGGACGAATTGCTTTATCAAATGATTTAATGATAAATAGCAGAAAATGAGACTATTGCAACTCATCATTTTCAAATAAAAACTAAATTAAAAAAATTATACTAAATAAAAGCCAATAGAATTTCTTCATGTGATGATCATCGTACTTTCTCATGCGCTTTCGAAAAACCTTCTTTAAGTAAACTAGATAAAAATCAGTGTCTCCGCCTATTTAAAGATGATACTGCATCGCGTGTGCCTTAGAATGCCTCTGAATGAACATGCACTTGACGAAAGGAATCTCGTGAGTACTTTAGTACCGTTAATACATCGTAGACGATGGAATATTATCAATTAATATTATTATGAATCATGAACATTTAAGATATTGTAACATACAGTTTAAAATTGTAATTAATGTTATTATGTGTTTTATATAATTTTTACAATCTTTCTTTCAATAAAATAATCGTTCTACATTTTATTTTTATTTTTTATAAGATAGAAGTAAAACTGCTATAGGATGAATTATCTTTTTTTGAAGAAAATAAATGAAAATTAGAAATGAATGAAAGTAAAAAGAGCAAAAAAAAATATAGCAGTATTTTCATGTCTTAGGTCAGTCAACTTTCTATTCATAACATGATATTAAATCATTAGATGCTACAGAAAATTAAATTCTGACCGTAGATACATATATATGTATTTATATATAAACAGTTATGTGGACTCTAATAAGGCAATACTTTGGTGGGTGTCCAGCCAAGCGTATGTTTTTCATCATGCATTTAATGCGATTGAAACATGAGTGGTATAATTATAAATTTTGTTATGGAATATTTGATGATACATTACTTAATTAATGCATTTTTATACTTTCAGTTATATTAATCCATTGTTTTTTTGTTATTATTGTAATGATTTCTTTGAGTTTATTTAATAACTCGTTCTTTTTTTAAATTGCAGCCAGAACCTAGGTCAGATCTTGATTCTACAAATGGAAGTAGTCAGAGCGGAAGACCAAGATTTGTTCCTGTCACAGCTCTCGAAGATGTCCAAGCAGTCAGATGTGCTGAATTTCATCCCCACGGAAAGCTATATGCTGTTGGTTCTAATTCTAAAACACTTAGAATATGTGCTTACCCTAAACTTCATGATGTCAGGTATGCTAATAAATCATTTAGTATGCTCAATTAATTCTCTAAAATTTTAGATATTTTTTTTTGAAATATAAAAAAAATTTTTTTAGCTCGATAAGAAATAGTAAATGATTTCATGCTTCAATTAATAATGCAAAGTTTAAAAAGAAAAAATGAAGTAATCCAATTTATTTAAATAAAAGAGAATGTGAATTATAAAATTTTTCAATTTTAGATATACTTTTAAAATTATGTTATTCTGAAGAATAAAGTAAAATTCAAATGAAACGGAGCGTGAAATCTTAGCTTTAGTGAAGAAAAACCCGTAGTTACTTGGAAATATACATACATTATTGACTTATTACTTTTGATTGGCATATTATAGTTTATTTTAATGAGGTAAAGCATTACTCTACATTTCAAAATTATTATCATTATATAAAAATATTTGCGTCACACTCTGAAAAATATTTTAATTAAAAAAAAATAGTAATCTCTTTTTATGTGAACTTTGAGAGTCTTTTAAGCCAAAAATATAAACTATTAGAATTTAAAATTTTTAAAATTATGCTAATTGTAAGAAAGTAGCTGTTGATGTTTTCAAAATAATGATAAAGAAACGTCTCAATTGAGTTTTCCTATTAATGTGACATGTAATAAAGTAAAAATAATATAAACAAGAATATTGATATGATAATTGATTATAAATTAAATTCCAAGTGAAACTAGAATTTTCCAACGCTCTTAGTAAGTGAGAAAATGAACTGACTAATTAAAATGAACGTTAAGTATCCGACGAGATTGAGAAAGTAGAGTTTTATTCTCTCTGGCACCTTCTATATATTAATTCTGTAATGTAGTAAATGGAGGTCCAATTCAATTAATGTGTAAATCTTATGAGGTGGGAGAAAAAACTTGAGAATCAGGCGACGAAAGAAAGTGAAGTCTGAGAACTTTAATAGTTCATTTAATGTCTAGAAAATTCTATTTTTATTACTGAACAAATTATTTTGATTTACATATTTTATTTCTATTATTATTACAGAGAAGATCATCAAACGTATCAACCGACTGTTCTATTCAAAAGAACAAAACACCATAAAGGTTCGATATATTGCCTGGCTTGGACACCTGATGGTCAACTTATGGCTACAGGAAGCAATGATAAAACGGTAAAATTGATGAGATTTAATGCCGATACCTCTAACCTCGAAGGTAAATAGAAATAAATTGTTACAAATAAATGTCCTAAATAATCTTTTGCCTGTTAAAGAAATTTTTTGAACAAAAATTGAGCAGTCATTTTTTTTTCAATTAAAAGTAAATTTAATTAATTAATAAGAAAAGAAAGAAATTAATTACTAGATATTTGACTCTAAAAAATTTAAATTAGTTAATGATTTTCCATATAAAGTCTAAGATATCGTTGATGTAGTTGTCGATTGGATTTTTTTTGATAATTATTTATTTTATAGGTCAAGAAGTCGAGTTAACTATGCACGATGGAACAGTAAGGGATTTGTGCTTCCTTGAGGACACTTCAAATAAATCTAGCCTGTTGATAAGTGGTGGTGCTGGTGATTGCAAAATCTATGTAACGGATTGTGCGACAGGAACTCCTTTCCAAGCTCTTAGTGGCCACAGTGGACATGTACTTAGTCTTTATAATTGGGGAGGTGCGATGTTTGTCAGTGGATCACAAGATAAAACAGTGAGATTCTGGGATCTTCGAACGAGAGGATGTGTCAATATGGTTACACCTGCGACAGTTCCAGGAAGCAGGGTAATTAAAACTATAAATACTTTTGTCACATTTTTTGCATAACTTTCAAACAGTTTAAAAAAAAAACACCTATGCTTTATCATATCAATTTTTTTTATTCTTTATAAAATTTCGATTACTTTTACTCAGAAAACTTTTTTACTTCCTAAAACTCTCGTTTCATCAAAACTATCTATCTATGAACTTTATGCTCTATTAACAAATATTCACTCATGTGGATATTTTTATTAAATCGAAATTTTATTCAGAACCAACTTTTATTAGAGCAATTGATAATATTACCTGTCTCAGTAGAATTACATGTTCTTACAGGTTGGTAGTCCAGTAGCTGCAGTTTGTGTGGATCCATCTGGTAGACTTCTCGTGTCTGGACACGAAGATAGCAGTTGTGTATTATTTGATATTCGAGGTGGTAGAACAGTTCAATGTTTCAAACCTCATGCTGCAGATATTAGAAGTATTCGATTTTCACCATCAGCTTATTATCTATTAACTGGCGGTTACGATAACAAACTTGTTCTAACCGATCTCCAGCGTAAGTATCATATATTACAATAGTGTTATAATGATTGAATAAATAATTTTTAAAAAAAATTTCATAATCTTGAAAAATGAAATGTTTTAGGTGATCTAACATTACCGTTACCAAGTGTTGTGGTTGCTCAGCATCAAGATAAAGTCATTTCTGGCCGTTGGCATCCAACTGAATTTTCATTTCTCAGTACTTCTGCAGATAAAACAGCCACTCTATGGGCTTTACCGCCAGTTTGAACAAATTGAAATGATTAAAATACTCATACGTAATTTTATTTCTTCAATTGCAATAATAATTTGATATTATTTTGCTATGTGACGTAAAATGCTAATCATTACGTTAAATTCGCACAATCAATCAACCATGACCAATAAAAACTATTTTTATGTTAATGCTTTAAAACAAGAGATACGAAATAGATTAATAAAAATAAAAACTAAAAAAATGAAAAAAAAAATACTCGGAATATTTAACATGATTAATCTTTTACAATAATCATTATTATTATAATAAATTGTTGATTAATATATCGAATAATCGAGAGATAAATCGAATGATTAATAACAATAAGACTGGATTTAAAATCTCAATTCAATTGTCTGTAAACAAAATAATGAACAAAAAAAAATTAAACCTTCAACAATGAAGAACAAATTGGCGGTTACGGGTCATTTTCAATTGCAATTTTTTTAATTACACGTAATTATTTAATTTTTGCATTAAAACATTAATGTATATAAATCAGTTGACCTTAAAAAAATAATTAAGTCAAAACAAAGATCGTTAATTTTTGTACAGTTAAAAAATCATCTTTCATTCAAAGCTTTTTTTTTAATATTATATTATTTTACTTATAATTTTTTAGTGTTATTATTGTTATCTCTTATTAAGTACTAAAATATATTAATAGTTGATTTATCAGTTGTTTAAAATTTTCTCGGTTGGTAAAACAACCATTTATCAGTAAAAATTTATTTTGAAGATTTATTTACGTGTAATCTATGGTATATGATTGACATTAAATACACACACATAAGTATTATTATATGTATTAATATTTATCATGTGCGATATCATACATTAATATATATCTTTATTTTATTATTAACAATTTAAAATTAGCACCGAGTAGAAAAAGCGAGTAAAAAAACAGTTAGCTTTTTTTAAAAATTAAAAGTAAACAATTATATTACTGAATAATTGAGTATACAATATGGATTTTAGAATAATCTAAATACGTAAAAAGCTAGTAAAATAAAACTAGAGCTCGTTAAAGATTATCTACAGGAAAAAAAAGTAATTATGGATTAAACATGCGAAGAAAAAAACAATTTAAAGAATTACTTTGTATTGCTAAGATTAAAAAATGCTGTATATTTAATAAATAAGTGCCTCTTGTGGCATCGATTCAGTAACCATTATTCTAAACAATTTTTTTAACTTATATATAATATATTCTAACATTTTGTTTCTGTATAAAAATACGCTGTGCCTCAAGTTCTAATTACTGTAGGCGTTATTTCATATAATATTTTTTGTTTTGTTTTATTAAAATAATTTTTGTACATTTAACCCACTTGTAATATCTTCTCATTTGTAGTTTAACTTACAAAAAACCTAAGCAATGTTATCCTTATTATGATTTACCAATATTATTTTATAAGTTATAAATTTGTACTTTTTTCTGTAGATACATGACTTTATGCTGTCAAATTATAATTAAATAAAAAATGCATTATTAAAATATTGCTAAATTTCGATCAAATATTCCAGTTAAATATTCAACTTTCTCACCTTTAAAACATAAATAATGATATTCTTAATATTTAAATATCTTACCAATCAAATAAAGAAATCACTTTCTGTTGGTAATGAAGACATATCTGAACAATCGATATCTCGACTCCACTTGAATCGATTTAACGCTCTCAGTCGATATATCAATCGATGCAAATAAATTAATTTAAATATTTAAATCACTAAACACACTACACACTTTTGATGGTAATACTTATACGATAATAAAAATCATTATTTTTAATTTTGTAATAAAAATTATTTGATTAGTTGTTTATCTACCTGTGATTACACCAACAATATTTAATCATCGAATAACAATGCACATATAGATTCACATGATATTTGCAATGCGTTATCAGCCGCAAAAGTGAGAGGAACTTCAGCATATCAATGACACATAGATGTTCGGTTGTGCAAAAAGGAAAAAATTATAAGAGTGGGGCTACTTGTTAACATGTCGACTCATCCAGACACTCCGAGACATATTTGCTTCGCAATTTTTTGAAAAACATTTACTTTTATTTCTTTTACAAGTACAAAATATAGGTGATAACAAATAATTATCAATAGTTTCGCAACAGAACGATACTCCAACTACTTAAAAAAAAAAAGTTTATTGTGTAATCTAAAATAATTATATGATTAGTGAACATGTTAAATTAATTGGTTCAAACACATATTTTCTACTACGTCGTCATATTATAAAAAAAAACAGAAGATCTGAAAATAGCAGTCTAATAATATCATTATAAACAACATTGTTTCAACAACACAAATTTTAACAAGTGATTTAATACTTTTTTAAAATGATTAAAAAACTTTTAATTCCGTTCAGCGATTGAAAATAATGTTTATGTGATCAATGAGAGTCTGCAGTGTCTTCATGGTCGTTCTTTAGAAGTATGATCGTAGGTGATGTTAACATTGCAGGCTTCAGATCTCCTAAAACATCATGAGCAACAAAATGAACTGAAAAGTCATCATCATAACAATGATGTGAATACCGATAACTTGCATGGCTCTGAGGCTATGCATGATCTTCAAAACTGTATTGATAATAATCTTAATAATAACACAAAGCTACCATCTTATCAAGCGTTTAATTTAGAAGATCCTTCCAGGTTTACTGGTGATACAAGTGATATTCATCATGGTCCTGAATTTATTTGTATTGAGGACGATAATGAAGATGAAGACGAAGAAGATTATGATGATGAAGAAGGTGAAGAAGAAATGAATGATGAAGATGAAGAAGACATTGCGGAGAGTGAAAATGTTATCACACAAATGGGAGGATGGACTAATGGAATGCCAATGAATAAAGTTATTCATGAAACAGTGACTGGTCATGTTCTACCAAGTCTTGATTCTTCAAATTTTGGTGAAGTAAATATAAAGAAATCAAAAAATGTGCGTGTTGGTAATACTACTTTATACAAAGGACCTGTTACAATAAAACAGTTTGTATATACGAATTCAAATCCTACTCAAGAAAATAGTGTAAATACTATTAATGAACGAATATCTGACGTTAATCCGAATGATGTGCCTATTGTTAAAGATGATAATAAGACTCCCATTTTTCCTATTCATCGTGAATACAATAAAGGTAAACTAAATGTTATCTTTGTGCTTATTATTAATTATTATTTGGTTTTCGCAGTTCTAATAATTTCTAAATTATTCTTTCAAGACAAATAAAAACAAAGTCAAAGTATACGAAAAATTATCTCAATTTAATAGCTTTGATGCTAATCATTATCAAAATTGATGTATCAAAATGAATGATAACAAAAAAAGTTGGTCAGATAATAATAAATCTCCGAATAATATACTTTCAAATGATAATCAATAATCGATTTTTGGCTTATTAAATGTTTGATTTAGTCTGATTATTGAATGATTAATTTGTACAAACAATTATGTGTTATAAATCAATATTTTTTGTTTCTTCTAATAATTTTAACAAAAAGTTTTGTTGGAATTGTCCTTCAATAATTTCCAGTAATCTTAAATACTTATCTTATCAAGATTTGAATATTTTGATTAAATTGGTAATAAATTATTTGTATAACATTAACAGTGAGAGAATGGCTGTGGACTTGGAGATGTGCAGCGATTTTAAGTGTCATGGCGTTAATTTTTATATCAACAGTAGTGGTAGTTTCAGTGTCTTTCTCACAACGTCCGCCATATTCACCACTACCACCTGCACTTGATCCTGATGGTAATTTTTTATATCATTTCAATATTATTCAACAATAATTATTATAATAATTTGTTGTAATCATTCTATTTTAAGATATTCTCTACGATGGAGTTAGATTTATTCAAAGGACAGAATGGGGAGCTCAGCCACCAGAAGATGTGTTAGATAAATTAGATATTATTCCAGCCCCATATGTAATTATAAGTCATACAGCTTCAGAAAGCTGTACTACACAATCGGAATGTGTTCAAAGAGTTAGAATAGCCCAGATGATGCATATTGAAATAAATAAATGGTCGGATATTGGCTACAATTTTCTTGTAGGTGGAGATGGACAAGTCTACATTGGTCGTGGATGGGATATTACTGGTGCTCATTCATTTGGTTTCAATTCCAAGAGTATTGGAATTAGTTTAATTGGAACATTTAATAAAATTGTTCCACCTCAGCGTCAATTACATGCTTTAAAAAAATTAATTGAAATGGGCGTAAAAAAAGGAAAGATTGCTGAAAATTATAAACTGTTAGGACATCGTCAAGTATCAGCTACTCTTAGTCCTGGAGACGTACTTTATAATATTCTAATAACTTGGGATCATTGGGCAGAAAAGCCATAGTGATTTTTTTTAGATAGATTCACTTGCATTTGAAAATGATTCAATGTATTGTGAAATTGCCAATTTATTTGTAAAACCTGTTCATTTAATAACACTGCCACATTCAGTGGTCAATTATGCTCTCAGTAGTAAGATTTTTATGAAAATCCGCAAATATAACAAAGTTCATAGTCATTATGAATTTAATATACAATTGATCTATTTGAAAATCAATCAGTCGTGATTTATGTTTAAATAAAAATATACTCATTTTTTAAATAAAAATTATATATGTAAGCAAACAATATATTGGTTTATTGTAATTAAAAATATTTTTTTTATTTTTAAAATGTTTGTTAATTTTTTTTATGTTATCTATTACAGAATAATAAATTTTCAAAAATTTTTGTAAAAAAATAGTAATTTTTATGTTTATTTTTAATAAATAAAATCTACATAATTAAATATATTCGTTCATTTATGTATCGTTCGTTGTTTTATTAGACTGAACTTCAATTTTTCTTTTCTTTTCAAAATGCTTTATACGATTCTCCAGACTCTCTAAAAATATAACACGACGTTTGATTATCCATTTCAATGAAACGTTCATTGTTTTATACACAAAAAATATTTATACAAACCGCAGGTGACTCGTTTCATCAGAGGTTGATAAACTTTCGATTGCACACCTTGAATCAAACAGTCAGCTTGACAATTTAAATCATCGCAATGATTTCTTAAGTTACTTTTGAGATCATTTATCATGTGTTCAATCATCGTTGCTCTGTTAAACGATTTTAAAATATAAAAATAGAAATTATTAAAAGTATAATAAAAAATGAATTATATTATTTTATATTTATTTTTCTCTTACTTTATAGCATTTAATGTCCAGTCTTCTTGAAGAGTTTTAATAATTGATTCAGTTTCAGTATCATCGTAAATCCATTTTACATCATCATAGTGGCAATAAAATAAATTTAAAGGCAGTTCATGTGCTAAATTATATTGTGGTTTGCAAGGACAAGCTTTAATGTCAAATAAATCAAGAAAAATCTCAGGTGTTTCTTTCTTTTGGCCTACTAACAGCAAAATGCCCATTATACAACGAATTTGATGCCATAAAAATGCTTGACTTTTTATTACTAATTGATACATTTGGTATCCACTTTCCGTTTCATTTAAATTCGATAAGCAGTCATTGGAACATACAATTTCAGCTTCACTTATCGTTCTTTCAAACGACACAACACCATTAGCTACATCCATTTTACAAATATTTCTAAAATCGTGATGGCCTACGAGATAGCTTGCGGCTTGATTCATTGCTTTGATATCTAGGTTCCCTCGAGGAAAAAAATATTTGTAGGTTCGAAATTTACAGTCGAATCGTGCTGAGTAATTAGAATCAACAGAAGCCCAAGCTACACATTTAATGTCTTTAGGAAGAATTCTATTCAATATTTTACAATATGGCAGTTCTTGATGAATATCATCTTGAGAATCCTGATTATCTTTTAAACTACTTCTAACATCAAGAGAGATCACTTGAGAGAAAGCACTTACACCTTTATCTGTACGACCACAACGATGATAATTCGAAGATTCTCTATTTTCTATTAAACAACTCCGTTTTAATGCTTGAAAAATATGATACTCTACAGTTTTTGTTGTATCTTCTTGTTCAACTAAACCATGATAATTCCATCCTAAATAATAAAACTTTAAAAGAATATGTCGTTTGCGGCATCTAAAAATATTTTCATAATGATTTAACTCTTATACTTATTGAAAACATATGTTTATTATTAATATTCTGTCAAAAATTTGCTATTTACTTACTGAGAAAAGTCAAACGATTTTCCTGATTTTTTAGGTGTACTACTTTTTACATCAGAAATATTAGATTTCTTAATAATATTTTTTAATTGTAATATATGGGCTTCTGATTGCAATAACTTTTCAATAAGTTCCTAGTAAATAAATATGTATTTATTTATAAATTGTTAAAAACAATAATAATAAGTTAACCTTACATTCTTATCTAGAAGCTCCAATTCCTTTCTCGAACTTAAATTTTTATTGGCTTTGGTTTTCTTCACTATCAGATCTTCCATATTTGTTGAACAAATATTTAAAAAATTTAATTAAAGAAATTTAATCCTAATTAACAATTTAAATACCATAATAAATAATATTCCTTCTCCTTATCAAATTATAGATAGAAATATAACTTTTTACAAGTATGTACAGCACTGAGGTTATATCAAGGGTACTGATACCCAGTCTATCGTACAGCACTGATATAAACGCGGGCTTTTTTAAATTTCATTAGAAATGTCTTCATCATCTCCAACATAAGCTTCACCGATGTTACTTTCAAATTTCATCAAATTATAATGACGTAGTGTAACATTTACATCTTTATGTCTATTAATATTTTGTGCTAATGCTAATTCATTATGTTGAACCATCAAAGTGGTGTTGAGAGAACGAATTATCTTCAGACCTAATGCAGTCGAGGGTTCACTCTGGTTAACATTAGAATACATCTCACGTAGAGTTTTGTTGATAGAATCACTTTGACAAGAAATTAACAAAACTTCATTGTACTCAGAATTATTAATAGTATTATTAATTAAATCATTCAGGGAGCAATGTTGATCTAACTTATCACGTTTCATAACAACTTTGATAATCATTGGATATAATAGATCAAATAATTTACCCATCTTTAGAACTTTTATCGATTCTATTCGATGTTTAGCTCTGATCGAGACAGGTTGTTCACGATCAATCATATGAAGATGTTTGATTCGGAGCTGCAACAGTTCACTTGATCTTAAATTTGTTAGCAAAGTAAGTAGTATAGCTAGTCTTGTATCAATAAAACGTTTTGGTTCCATTTCAGGATATTTACCATCTACAAAATCTCTCACATATTTAACAGTATCTATTATCAAATTTTTCATTCCATCTAGAATTTTTTCATCATTTACAGTCAAAGGATTCCTCTGATATCTATCCAAATATTCAATATGTTTAGTAACATTAGGATTTTCTCGTTTAATTGATGCATAAATAGAATTAATATAAGCTGTAGAAAATTCTTTCCCACTTGTAGATGATTTTTGAATATATTTTAGAACTTCTTCAACGTTATCATTTGTTATCTTTGAAACTACTATATTAAGTTGTTTCAATTTCTTTAAATGAGCTTCATGAGTTTTGATTGTTGAAGGTCTGTATGCTAGCTGATCATAATATGGCAAATTAAAATCGTCCTGTTCTGCCATAATGATCCAATAAGAACACTATTGATATCAATGTATCTAATTATACAAGTTATTAAAATAAAATAAATCGTACCAATAAAAATCAAGTGATCAATTTTTCTTTCATTTTAAAAATCATTTTCTATGATTTGAATTATCAAACTGTAGATTTAAGAAAGAAAGATCTAGTTTATTCTAAAGAAATATTATTATAAAGTTGTTGATTTCTTTGCTAATTATGGCCAACGAGCTGTAACTAAAGATTCTTGATAGATTTGTTTTAGATATTTTTTGAACAGATCATTAAATTCCAAAAAAAGAGATCCATTTGTCTTTCGAGCATTGTAATGTAGCAGAATGTCTAGATGACGTTTTGGTAGTTTTATAAAGCCAAGTTGACGTTGATTTTTGGTCTCGAAAGCGCGTCGTGGCTAATGAACGATCCATCTGTGCTGAGTCAGTTACGAAGCACAGGAAACGATGGATAGGGCGCGTGAAGAAGAGAAAGAGGTAGAGGGAATGGAATGAAAGAGGACGTTCTGCCTCCGGCAAAGGCGGGTGGCGTCTCGTCTTGCGTCGTTTAATTTTGGAAGACCATACACCCGGAATAGATACGCCCCCTCGTCGTATTCAGCTTCGTGTTGCCGGACAAATCTGATCGTTATCTGATGCGAATTAAAAATTCACATCATCATCCCAACTTTTTCATATCTCTTATCTCCAACTCCACATTAGCATCAAGACTATTCATTTAATTTTTTGTTTTTTTTTTTGTAATTAGATTAGACCGAGTTACTTATTAACTACAATGTAAAAATAACTGTCACTATGATATGATAGTTCATGGTACATTGAAATAGTAAACTATGCGATCATTTCATTTTCCTTTCTGATATTATTTCGTAAGATCTACCTTCAAAGCTGTCTATTAATTAAGTATTTAATTACGTATGAAATTTACAAAAATTGACTTTAATATTTAGATGAAATATTGCAAAATATATTGATCTCTTGGACCAGTTATTTAGATAGTGATTCAATGGTAAAATTTCTTTCTAAGAGCATTTGCCTCTCATTAATCGATTATCAGTGGCTTTGAGACTATTGATATACGTAATAATCGAAAAAATAATATCCTATGTGATTTCCTCTGAGCAGAATAATATTTATACAAGATTGGTACAAGTGAGCCTGGATTCACGCCAAAAGCTTATACTTTTACACTTTATGTTCTCAAGATGATTTAGTCAAATCACAAAAAAATCTTTCAGATTATTCTCCGTTTTACTTTTTATTCTATTCATTAAAAATTATAAATAATTTGTTGTCTTACTACATATTTATCAATCATATTCATTAAAAAACGTTTTTTTTTAAATTTTTTAATGACTTTTACCAAATAAAAGCTGTATAAATAATTACCTCTTAAAAATTATGAATACTTAAGTATTTATTTTAAAATAAAAAGTTATTTTTTATTAATATTATTATTATTAAATACTATTGGATATGAAATTGTCTGATAATTTATTTGTGTTTAATAATCAGCACCAGATAAATTCAATCTGTGGAATTCAATTGAAAAATAAATAATAACAGAAACATTACGCTCTTCTTTAAGATGCAAAAAAGAAAAGAAGTAAAGAGCGTTGTAATCATGTTCTTTTTATCCGGAAACGGAAAAGTAATAGCAAAGCCTATTAATACCAGTTGAGGAGATATTTCAATGAATCGAAATAAATCGGCGGGGACTAAGCACATCCGTAAGTCCAATGAGATGGAGGAAATATAGAAAACGCAAGGGCGCTTGCGTGCAAGTAAAAAGCTCGACCTCACAACCGCCGACGCCTTCGTGAATGAAGTCGAAGACACAGTCAGTTTGCAGCTGAACGTTCGTCTTTACGTGATTCTTCTTCTCTTCTCAACCTTCAAGATCGATCGTTTTATAATAATCGAAGAATTTTTCGTCATCATCAAACACATCTTTAAGTAACTTTGTTTTAATTACACCATGCTAACCCTTTTTACATTAACTGTTTTATCTGTAATTTTATTTTTGACAAATAAATAACAATTGTTTTTCCAATTGATATAAGAATTAATAAACTTTTGATAACCAAGCAGTTTTGATATTTAATTTTAAAACCATTTGCATGTGAGTTGGAAGATTTTGTTTATTAATCAATTGTATTTGAGTTAAAAAATAAATGAATGTTGTCAGAATGGCTTGGAGTTGTTTTTTCAATTGTAAATATAAGGATAGTAATCACTAGCTTGAAGCTCTACTTATGTCAAAAATCAAAATTATGTTTTTCGTGGGAGGAAGATAAAGAACCAACGTGAAGTCAGAGAAATGAGCTCGTGCAGATACCGAATAATTGTTGGGGAGTGTGATGACGCGTGGAATTCGCTGATTCCATGTGTCTACTAAGCCAGTCCAAACAAACGATTTGCTGGAGAGTCAAGCCAGAGCTTGAGTTAAAGAATTAATAAACAATTGATAAAAATATTCTAGAAATAAAATCATAAGATTTCTAATCAAATTGAATTATCTATTTCTTAAAAGCAAAAATTTCTTTAAGAATTGAAAATGTCATTCTTCTAGCTCATGACTGAATAGCTCCTGGAAATTCCAGGTTATTGCATGAATGATGATATTATGTAAGTTGTGCTTAAATTTAGCCAACATCCGGGTGAGCAAAGTCGTAAATTAATTTTTTTATTACTACTTCCCTGGATTCTTTATTAATTAAATAAACTGTCTTTGATAAATGTAGATAACATAATGTAAAACGAAATCGTAAATTCAAATAACATTTGCATTATATCACGAAGATTTTCGTGTAAAAGCTTGGTCTAATTTTAGTTGTATATATCCTGTACGTTTTCACGCTGCCATAAAATTTACATCAAAAGTGTGTTGAATTTCCAATTTTAACAATAAAAGCTACCCAGTTAAAAGGGCTATTAATGAATAGAAAAAATAAATGAATTTTTGATTATAATTCAATTTTACTTAAATGGTCATTTCAATACGTTAGTATGATTATTATCCTAAAATGTGGCGAGTGTGTTTGTTAATAGCCACGAAGACATCCATAAATTAATTAAATTAGTTATCGTTTGAACAAACCAGGTGGTCTAATTTGTACGTGCTAATGTCTTCGTGGAAACGATATAATACTTACATTTGTAATGCCTTTGAAGCACGAACTAAGCTCAAGAATAAACTATAAATCATGAGGAGATTATTCCACTGCTTAGTTGACTTTTTATGATCATACTTAGAAGAATATATCAGCTACTATTATATTAACAACAATGTTTCACATTTTTAATAATTATCAATACTCATTCTACTTATAATAGATTATTTAAATAAATTGAAATAAAATTATTATTAATTAATAAATAAATAAGCAGTTGACTGAGGATTTGTCTTTTTCCGCTTTGCTGCCGCTGAGATTTGAGTTCGCCAGCAAAGGGGAACAGGCCGATCTTCTTCAACTGAACTACTGTTTTCATCAATCAAGTGAAAATACCCGGCTTCGATCAGACATATCACAGACCAGTTGTGAATTATTTAATATTATTTTATCGATACCAACTACTTGGTTTTTTAAATCCACTGTGGAGAAGAATGTCATACTTGTAAACTGATTGAAATCAGGAGGGAGAAGAAGAAAAAAGCTTTATAATAGAGAGTTTTTAACTCAAATGTATTTTTAGAAGTGTTGGATATAAAAATGATTGGTGTCTTAAAGCCGTGTACGTGAGCTTTCGTACAAACCTATCGTTGTTAGAATTAACGGCCTATTCCCGACTTCGAGGTATTTCCGTCACACGTTAGAGTGTCAGTAGACGCTGTTTCAACCGCCCTCACTCACAAAATACGTCCCTCAACAGCGCTACAATAATATGTCTATGCGTGTCGGTGCGGGCTTAAATCAAGCGTTTTCTTGAGCTGTTGGAGAAGAAAAAAAAGATAACGAGCACAAAAGCACTCGGAAATAATGTTGGTGTGAATAACATGTTCCTGACGATGGCTTTGCTGTTTTTTTCAACATTTTTTATAAAAGCTTACATTTAAAAAATAAGCTCTTAAATTATTTTGTTTTTATTTCCTTTGACATACCTTTTGCTGCATCAGTCTTTTACTTTAATTTATTACAAATACTTTTTTAATTTAATTAAAAATTATTGGATACCAGAATGTTTACCTTAATTCAAAGCTATACTACTGTTATTTGATAAAAATTATAACAGGAGCTTTTCACTTAAATAGAAAGAATAATTTAAACAGATTTATAAAGTGATAAGAAGTATGTTTACAAGAGGATGATTTATTTAATTAGTGGGGTTTTCTATCTGCTGAACAATAATAGACCAAAGCTCTTCAGGAGCAAAGAAACAATGTTGTGAAAATTCATAGTACTATCTTGAAAATCAAGTTGTCAAGAAATTATGCGGCTGCGCGCATACAAACACTTGGCTCAGCCAGTCATACAATTTAATGCATGATGTTAGGGCGTGACAACACTTGGGTGGATTTCTACGACATTTGATTGGCAATGTTGAATTTCTCTATCCACCTACACTGACATATATATCGTAGTTACAAAATGAGTTATGACACACTAAATTGTACAAAGAAACATTTCAGTAACGGATTTCTACTCAGAAATATGTACCGTGTGATATATATTGTCCCCATCGTCACAATCTAATATTAATGTGTAATGATTTAGGTATATATTATGACTTGGTATATATCTATTTGGAAATCATGACTAATGTTCTATCAGATTTTCACTAAGAACTGAGACTTCCTCTGAGATTTAATGAGGCTTTTAGAACTAATTAAACTTTTTTTGATAAATTTTATTACTGAAAAAAGAATGAAAGATATCGTTTAAATATAACTTGGAATTATATTCATGTATCTTTTGACATTCGACGTCATAAATATTAAACTGTAGGCACAGAGCCATATTGCATGGTTCCAAATTTAAATATTTATTTTTTTTTATTTATTTAATTTATTTGATTAGTTTTATACCATGAGTCACTTATTTTTTTTGTCAATTTGACCTCTAGAAGGCAGATAGTCAGATTGATATAATAAATATTACCCTCCATGATGATCCAAGATGATCAGAGTTTCCCAATAGATATGACTCCTGTCAATTGTACTATGTGTACTTGCTTATTCTTTATCAAAATTTTAAAAAACATACTTGGAATAAATAATATATTATCAATATTATTCTCCGTGCTTCACAATATTCCGCTATCTTTTATTACCTCTGTAATCCACAATGTAACTTTTTATGATTACTTACCACTTTTATTTTTGATAATTACCTAAAAGTAGAGCTCTATCTCCATTCCAGTGTTTTAATGTTTAACTGCTATAATATATGACGAGTTTTGCAAAAACTAGAACTTTGATAAGACTATAATTTTTTTTGGAATTAAATATTAAAGGGAAGTGTTGTGTTTTCTTAAGGCCAAATGATCTTTTATCTATGCTAGAGCTGCTTATAAAAATGGTATAAATTTAAACTTATTCCATATTCAAGATGTTATTAAATTAATTTGACATGATTTCAAAACCTTATGTTGATCGTAGTTGATGACATCCAAGTTCTAGAATTATAAGATCTTGTAAATTGATTTTTTGTAGGTTTATAAGACTTGGTAGAAATATATGTCAAAAATCAATCTGAATGAAACATGTATTTTCTTGAACTTTAAATACTATTTAAAGGAATATTGTTCTTGATAAATACAATAAACTCCTCAGGATCTATTCGTGGATAATAGAAGAAAGTCTTCAACTATATTGCTAATGTTTCATCACAGAATAGTTGAGAATGTAGTATAATAAGAGGATTAATTGGACAAATCTGAGAAAATGTACCCATGGCTCATTTCATAACATTAAATACTATGACAGGGATTTGTATGACATATTGTAGTATTCAGATCATGCACAGTCTCAAATTGCGCAGAGTATTCGAATACTATATGGATTAAAGATCTTAACAACTAAAAATATGTTATGATAATTTATTATATTATTCAAGAAATAAATAGAATGAGAAATTTACAGAAAGATTAACTATCGAGGATACATATGCGTTGAAGTAATTGTTTTTTTTTTATTTTGTAAGAAGTGAAAATGAAGATGAAGCCATCTAGAAATAACGATGTAAAAATAACTTCATAAATGAAGTATAAAATAAAATAACAATGGTAGAAATACAAAGGAGTGTTATAAATGTTTCAAGAATTTTTTTCATGATTACATCTGAGCTGTGAAAATTAATTGCTAGAACAGTGTCATGTAGGACTTGAAATTTTTTATTTAAGATCAATCCATCTTCTTATACACAAATAAAATATTTGTTAAGTTCAAAAAGTATATTTTTGGCAAGTGAAGTTTATTCTTGATTTTCACAATTAAAGTGAATTTATTATCTTATATTTTTATATTTATTTCTAAACTAATTACATTATAATGATTCGAACAGATAAATCAGAATTCATTTGACTTGTGCTTGATTGTAATTTAATTCTTTGTATTACAATAAAGTATATTATCTAATTAAGATTATTAAGTGAAGTAAAAATTATAACTTAAACATTTGGCGCATTTAGAAGGTACAAGATTTACTTATTTAAATCACATAGATAAACATTTGTTCTTATCCATATTATCACGTTTTCGATCATTCTGTCAATTTTTATTCTTCATTTTATTAATAATTTATAAATAGATAGAATTAATTTATAAGTTTTCACTTTATTCTTAATTATTTGCAAACGGTAATAGAATTCATTTTTTGTTTCCTATCTTCACTATTTATATCACAATAAATATCAAAATATTAAAAATAATGAATTAAAAAAAAAACTTCAATAGAGTTACAACAATTAGAATTGAAAAAATTATAACAAGAATAGTTCATTTACTCTGTACAATATTGACAGCGTCATTTGAATGTTAGTTAATAATTTATTAATTTCTCAATAGGCTAAGTGGCAGTTGTTGACATAAAATGGGTGCGTTGATGATCACGAAGATGATGTCGATGTTTGAAGCGTTTCTCACAATTTGTACATTGAAATCTTGGCCCAACTCCACACTCCAGACGTAGATGTCTTGTTAGATTACATTTGTGAGAATAAGTTCTACCACATTTTGGACATGAGAATAGTACAGAGTCAAGTTCCTTGGATCTGTGCCAAGCTGTAACAAAAAATACTTCCTTTCCGTGAACACAATCGTTTGGTCAGTTTTAGTGATAAATAAAATCTTTTCAATTCCTCTACTCATACTCAATAAATGGAAAGCATTAGCAATACAAAAATGCATTAAATACGAGCATCTAATAATAATATATAACAATTCATGCTGTATAAATTGAAGTCACTCTGCACATATTCATAACATTATTTATTGAAAAATTATACAATATTTGTATTCTTTTTATTAATCTCAGCAGTTTCTTCATAGCACAAATAATTTCAACAATAAATCTTTGCTTATATGTATATATACGTATATAAATTGTGCTTCTATAGAACCATGTATTGTTATAAAAATGCTTAAAACATAAATGATTTCTATTCATTCCTCTGTAAATTCAACAAAATAATTATTCTTTATATTTTTCACCCTCCATTAACTCACATCACAAATTACCCTTAATTCTATATACTTCTTTCCATTGCATAGTAACTATTTATCGCAAATCTTTGGCAATAGAAATTTAGCATAAGTAACAAAAACTAAATAAATTCTGCTTTGAAAAAATATAATATTTCTTATGGCACTGTAATGACTCATTTATATAAAAGTATAAATGGCGGCAGTGTTTTTTTCCTCTAAATGCAGTTGACTTTTTTTTACAAACAAAAAATTGACTATTTTCATTGTAAAGGTACAGAAAAATTTGGTAATATTAGTTTTTTCATTCTATAAAAATAAATTGGTAAACATTAACCTTAGCTTAGAATGATAATTAGTTTATCAATTTAACAAAATCAATTTTAATAATACATCAATGATTGATCGAGAAAAATTATTTAAAAAATTCATTCACATTTTTTCCCATCATTTGATGGCTTGCATTGATAGTAAAATATCAACAAATTCATAGAATAAGTAAAAATAAACTTTCCAAATTTTTTTAAGTAAGTATTAGTACGATTCATTCAAAATAATATAAATAGTTTAATTTGCCACTTTTCAGTCTATAAAGTTTCTTGTGTCCTCTATAAGCATTCAATTCAAGTTCTTTCATGTTTTTGATGAGTACGCATGTGTAGCATAAGATTATGTTTATGTTTAGATTTTTTATGGCACGTAGGACATTCAAACTGTGGCTCAACTCCACATTCAAATCTAATGTGTCGATTGAGGGAGTGAAGGCGAGTGTAAGCATTTCCACATTTCGGACAATAATATCCTGCAGAATCCTTTGATCCAATATTGATAAAATTGACACTTGATCCTGAACAGACAGGTCCACGAAATGATTCACCAGCAGGTCCCATCGAATCCCCTGGAGAAGTGTCTTGTGCTGATTCTACCGTTGCATCATTTAAATTACATGACTGTGTAGTCTGGTCCATTACTGGTGGAACAAGATTTTCAGTCATCTGCTTCTCAGCCACAAGCCGAAGGTAGAGACTCTGATACTGATAATACCACTCAATAGCTGCTCCCGGTGAGTACGTGCGTTCTATAAAAATAGACAAACAAGATTTTGTCATATAAAAAGAATGATAATCAATGTTGTTCCCATTTTACATTTATTTTATTCGTTGATTATTTTTTTAATTGATTCTAGGTTGAGTTTAAATCAGCGTTGGACCATTTATTGTTGATTGACATAAACATAAGGACAAACACATTTGGGGTCTATTTTCTCGTACGTTTCGACATTTACCATTCACCAGGAAGCACCACAAATAACTTTTATGGGGAGAGGAGAAATTGGTTTTTTCTTAACATTGTAATCTAACAATTTGATTTATCCAGTTTTATACTTTTATTAGTAAATGAATTGTAGAATTTTTTATCAAAATTAGCAACTTTAAAAATTAAAATTCAGTCTTGATTATACATTTGTACTTTTTGTGCTCTTCTAACTCAAATCGCCATAAATACTTCTTGCCACAGTAAATACAGACATAATGAACTGGTTTAATAATAATGCCTGAAATCAAAACAATATAATCATTAGATATTTTTTATAAATATACTGCAAATTATTATTTTAATCTATCCCAAAACTAAACTCCACACTACTATATTCGTCGTTGTATGAATTTTGTATTTAATATGTATGTATTGATGTTATTAACTTGGTATCAGCTGTTTCTAAGTAATCAAATTTCAAATTTTATTAGATGTTATTAGTTTACTTAATATTTATTTATATAAATATACATTGATGATTTAAAATAAAATCAACTTCAATAATAAATCATTAATAATAATATAGTATTTTTTGATAACTAGAATGAATCCATTAAAAAGGTTCTCTCATGTATAGCTCTATGATTACGAAGTTCATATCTGTATTTATATTTCCTATTGCAGAAATTACAACAGTATTTCCTTTCTTTATTTCCACATTCAACTCTTTGATGTCTTCTAAGACTATCAAACCATTTATATCTTTTTCCACAATTATTACAAACATATTGATGAAACTGTGACTTATCTAATGGAGGTGAAACATAAGTCAAATTACTTTCAGAAGTAACTGGTAGGGTGGTATAAGAATTATGTTCAGTAAAATCAGCTACTTTTTCAAGACTATCCGGATAATTTCGAGGTTCCATAGATACTTCAGGCGTTATATCTCCAGTATTTTTCTCCAGCATCCAAAGTGCATCGTAGAATTCCTTCGATTCTGCAAACATCAATATTACAAAATTGTTAATAAGTAATAAATTAATAGACTTTAAATATGAAATCACTCTCATTTCAATATTTGTCCAAGAATTTAAGTAATTATAATGAACAACAAATGCATTCCGAAAAATGTGTAATTTAGGGTCAATACAGAACATACTCAGTTTGTGTTTATCATAAAATCAGTGAATTATTTTATAAAATCTAATAAACAACGTAATTATTTAATATCAATACATAAATTCTATCAAATACAAAATTTAATAAATTGATTTTCGTCATCAGAAGATGCTGGTTTTAAGTTGATCAATTATTTCAAGTCTTTATTACAATTGAATAAATAATATTGAATCCAATCTAATGAAAATTTGTTTAGAAAAGTATATAATTTAATAAGGGTTTTGGTAATTTCACTAAATTTATTTTAAAGAATAGTATCATTCATCTTATGATTTTATAAATTGTCGAAATTCACAAGTTAATTTTTGATGTCTCTTCAAAGAATCAAGTCTTCTGTAGCTTCTTCCACACAGTTCACACCAATGAGCAGGAGGTTCAGCTCTTCCTATCGTAGTATTTGATGAAATTAAATAACCATGATTTCTCATTTGATGTCTTTTTAAACTATCCATACGTGTATAAGTCCTTTTGCATTCACGGCATGTAATTGGTTGTAATTTTTGATCATTATCTGCAGAAATATTCCGTTTTTTAGATTGGAGCTTTTCAAGATCTTTTAAACAGTAATTAACATCTGATGGATACTGCATTGATCCTCTACTATTACATATCGTTTCAGCATCTGGAAAAATAGGGTATGTTTGTTAAAATAGAGTTGGATTTTTTAATAAAAATGGATCTAGAAACATAAAAATACTGCACATAAAACATATACGGAAAACCATTTGGTACACAATATCGATTTCTTAGCTTTGTTTTAAAAATTTTCAATGATTTATTGGAAAAATATAATAATTAATTAATACACATCAAGAAAATTAGTAAATTATTATTTATATGATTTAAACTTTGATATAATCCTACAAACAAAAACTCATGATTTTTAATATCTATATAAAAAAAACACGATACATAAACTCATAAATAAATCAAATTATTTACAGTCAGAATAACAGTGTAATTAACAAGTAAAAGAGGTATTTCGTTACATTCTTTTTTCTTTTCGATACTGGAATGTAGTTCTTTATGTAAAAATTTGATTAATGAATTAAGTGATTATAAAAATCACAGTATTTAAAAAAAATAAAAATACTTTTTTTTTTTACTACATGGCATTGTATTAATATATAAATGATAGTAAAGAATAACAGTAAATAACATTCCTATTAAATATGAAATTATACATAAGTAGAAGGTTTGATTAACTTGTAAACTATATAATTCCAGTAACGATTAATTAGAAAGTTTTTATAAATTCTTTTTACGAAAATATCAATTGTTAATTAGTTTAGACAATATTTTTCAAGTATTTCTTCCAATTGATTTAATATATTTTTCAAAAATTCATCTATCGATTGTCTGTCACATTTTTAAAAAAGTAATGTTACTATATTGTCATACAAACATTTATACCCATAATGTATTAATAGTTAAATATGGTGATGACTTAAATCTTATCTTTGTAAAAAATTATACTGACAAACGACCAAGACATTTATTCATGTGAATTGTTAGTTGGTAATTCCTGAAAAATTTCTTTTCGCATATCACGCATTGCAACGTTGGCTCACTATGACATTCTAGAATGTGACGTTTCAAGCAACTTCTTTGGGCATATGTATTCTTGCACCAAACACATACGTATGGAAGATTCGGTCGACATTTTCTACCTCTCCTTTTTCTTACTGGTAAAGTTTCTGAAGATTCCCTTTTTTTTTCTTCCTTGACTTTAGGTCTGAAGCTCCATACTTTTTCAATTTTTATGTCTGAAAACAAAGAGGAAAGATATATTAGTAAAAAAATTATCTGAATTATTTGTCATTTAAAATGAATAAAATAATAAATATTAATATGAAACTTGAATAAATTAATTAGATATTAAATTAAGCATCAAAAGCTTTCATCATTTATTTATGTATATATGTGAATACATCAATACATTTCATAAACTTTGTACAGTTATATAAACATGGTTATACATTTTGATATAAAAAACTTAATGAAAATAATTTGATAGTAAAATACTTTGATAAAAAAGTAAAAAATCCGAAATAATAAGTAATTTATTTTTTTGTTTTAAGAGCACCAGAATTTCTTTTTTGACATCCCACAATATGAGAAGTTAAGACAAATTTATGTCTAAATCGTCTATCACAAATAGGACACTTTTGTGATGGCATAACACCACACTCAAGTCGTTTATGCCGACTCAATGAAGTTGCAGCAATATAGGATTTTCCACATCTCGTACATATAAATTTGCGATCTCGATATCGATATTTATCATCTTCACTAATTGGAGTTTTGTAAGCAACTTCTAATAAGTTTGCTACATTTGGAGTTGTTTCCACATTCGATGAAGAACGTAACTGCACTCCTATATATTCTGAAATAAGATATTATTATAATTAGTAAGAAAAGAAGTGTGACAACAATATACAGAAAAAGTGATAAAACATTCCAATTTATTTAAGCACATGCTTAAACAATGTCGTCAGTGAAAGTGAGAAAATTAAAATAAGATATAATGCAAGAAAAGTTAAGTTTTTTTCATGATAAAATGTAATATTGAAGCGATTATAGATCAGATGATAGAGAATATTATTTTTATTTAAAATAAATTTATCAAATGACTTTTTTCATATGAGTATTTATTTACTCATATTAAATTTTTTTTTATATACATTGTCAAAAACGGAATTTTCTGTACAAAAGAAAGAAATATTTTCTAATAAAAAAATGGAATCATTGCTATGACATTCTTTTCGCTCTTCTACAACTTGAAAGATGATGAGTAAGCTTAAACTTGTGGGTGAATTTTTTTCCACAAAAAGCACAACTTTGTCTTGGTTCTACTCCACATTCCAGTCTTAGATGTCTTTTTAATGATGTTATCAGTTGATATCCTTTTCCACATCTATCGCATTTGTGAATAACTGGTTTTCTAGCTGGTGGTTTCAATTTGTCAATATCCTTCACCACAAGTCGAGGTGCTGCAATTAAACAAATAATTTTTTGTTATTTAAAAAATAAATTCGAACATAAAAACCATAAAACCAACTATATACGTTACATAAATAATTGGATAAGCAATAGGGGAAGTCACCAGAGACATGAAAAATATATTAGATAAATTAAATTATTTATTAAAAAATTAGTTTTTAATTTAATAACACTCATCATTGAATATAACATTAAATCAAACACCAATCCGATGAACAGACATCATGTGATACTGCAACCGATGTTTGTATTTGAATTTTCTCCCACAGATGTAACATACAAATGTCGGCTCTTTGCCACACTCCACACGTATATGAGTCATTAATGAACCTCGCCAGCAATAACTCTTTCCACATTTAGAGCACTTCCAATTTCTTCCTATAGTTTCTGAAAAAAGAAACAAATTTTTTAAATTGTTTTATAGAGTAAAAAAATATCTAGTCAATGCTTTTAACAATCAATCACCCAGAAACCAATAGTTTTTACAAATGTATTTACAGAAGAATTCACAAAAAATTCAACTCAATACAATTAAGCAAAATATTTTTTATTTATAAAATTTGTTTTTGGTTATTTTTACTATCAATTGTGTTTTAAAAAATTCTGCTTTTTGTGCTTAGTGCTTTGTAAATGATTAGCTAAGCAATGTTTATATTTGAATTTTTTATCACAAACAGAACATTGAAAAGTTGGTTCTTTTCCACACTCGACTCGTTGATGAGTTATTAATGAACGACGCCAATAGTATTTTTTTCCACAGGTTGCACAACCCCAATTTTTCTGCAATCCTGAAAGAATGAAAACAAAAACTCAATATTTATTGTGCTCTATTGTTCCATCACTAAAGATCTAAATGCTCTTGAATTTCAAAAACAATGTC